CTGGGAAGTCTGAGATCAGGCTGCCAGCATGGTTGGGACTGGGTGAGGACTCTTCTTGGTTTCTCATACAGACGCCTCCTTGCTAGATCCTCACATGGCAGACAGAGAGAGAGAGAAAGGCATGCTTGCCTATGTTTCTTCCTATAAGGGCACTAATCCCATCATGCAGGATACAAACATTCAGGGCATAGCACCTGAGAAGGCTCTGTGAGGTCCAGGGGTAGGAGCAGGGTGCCAAGAGGAGCAAAAATTTCTGTCAGCCTGGCACTCTCCTCCTCTTCCATCTCCACTTCCTCCTCCTGCTCCTCCTCCTGCTTCTGATCCCCTCTCTCCTTCTCCTCTGCAGCTCCCCACTGCCCTCCTTCATAGAACCAGAAAGGGATGCTTGAATTAGCCTGGACTGCCCAGCCTGCACAGCTCTGGGAGTGGGGTGAGTGGGTGAAGTGATCTCCACGGGCCCTCCCAGCTCTGCCCTTCTGTGGTCCTGTGGTTGTGACTAGATCTCCAGGATGGACTTTGACCTTTCCAGGTCTAAGCACTGAAGATGCTTTGGTGTTTCTCCCCAGGGGGAAATTCAAAATAAAAACAAAACCACAAACCATATAACTTTTATGTGTACGCTAAAAATAAAATGGCTTTTTTCTTAAATTTTCCAATTACAAAAGTCAATTGGAAGCTAAACCTCCTTTGCCCTCTTTTGGAAGATGCACTGGTTTTGTAGTCACCCTGAGTCGGCCTCGGTTCACCTATGTACTGGGTCACCCAGCCTCGTGGACCTTTGAGTCTCAAGCCCATGCACACAGGGCAAAGGCTTTTGGAGCCCCTAGTATTCTTCCTGGGGCAGGGGACACACTGATTCTTCTGCATTATCCAGCACTCTCTCACCCCCACCCTAATGACTCTGCAGGGGAGAATGGCTTTGATGCATTATTCAGGGATCTCCAAGGCTAGCCCTCAGCTGACTCCCAACCTGTGACTCACCACGGGCTGGAGCTAGGCTGAGGTCAGAGGAGACCCAGGTGAACAGAAGTCATCCCTGGCCTGGACTGGGAGAAGGAAGTGAGGGCAGGACTCTGATCAGCATCAGTCCTGCCAGCCAGGGGCCCAGAAACACGGGGATTCTGGGGATGCCTTGGCCTGGGGTTCAAGGATCCTCCAAGGGGGTGTCCAGGAAGAGGGGAACATGAGCTACTGAAGCCACAGCAGAGACTCAGGCCATGACACGGTGACAGCTGGTACAATGTGGGATTCCTGGGGCAGGGCCTCTGCCTATCATGTGGCAAAAGCTCAAAAACTAATGGTGGGATCAAATTGCCACCAGCAGAGCCCATCCAGGTCACCAAAGAGCCTCCTGCCACCCTGACCCACTCACAGGGGCCCTGCCTTGCTGATGCTGAAAATCTGACGCTGATTACAGATAAGCAGTTAGTGCCCTTCTCCTAGCCTGGTCCTTCATGGCCTCAGGCCACACACCTCTTCTGGGAAGCCCTGTTGTCCACCACAATGTGGCTTCCTCTGCTCTGAGTGTGGATCTGGTGTAAGCCTGGCATTAGAAGTCGCTGGGCTGGATTCAGACTCTAGGTCTCAGTACAGCAATGTCATTCATTAACCACATGGTCTTAGACAAGTGACTTAACCTCTCTGAGCCTTGATTTCCTCATCCACAAGTGAAAACTAATGCTAGTCCCTATTGCCAGAGCTCACAGAGTGAAGTTCAGGGCACAGCGCCTGGCACATGAGAGGCACTAAGGATGTATTAACTAGATGAACTGGAGGAAATGAAGGAAGTGGGGCCTGCCCCGGGATTGACCTAGGGAAGCATCTCTGGGCTTCCTCCCCAGAAGGATCTGGGCCAAACACTCCCCAAATCTGGTTCTCTTGATAGCACAATTTCCCCCCAAAATGCCATCCAAAATGGAATGGGTAAGAAACATGCTTTCTTCCCACCTAGGCCTCCCAAAGTGCTAGTATTACAGGTGTGAGTCACTGTGCCTGGCTGTGGGATTCTTAAAAATATGTCTTGGAGGTTGTTTCATATTATTATATTTAGAGCTATCTCACTCTTTTAACAACTGCGTATAATCCCACTGCATGAATATATCATACTTTATTTATCTGGTCCTTATAAGTGGGCATTTAGGGTTTTTTTTTAATCTTTTTTTCAGTTATGACAGTGTTATGGTGAATGTCTTGTCATATTTTTAAGATGAGTTTTTAAAGCCAATGTACTAGAAGACAAAAGGAAGCATGTTTCTTACCCATTCCATTTTGGACTGCATTTTTAGGGGAAATTGTGCTATCTGGAGAACTGTACTTGGCTCGGAGGATCAGGAGTGCTTGGATACTACCCTGGTCTAATTCTTCCCGCCCATACAGGTGGGAGGAGGGTGTGAGCTCAGGAGTTTGAGATCATCCTGGGCAACACAGTGAGACCACATCTCCACAAAAATGAAACAATTATCAGGGCTTGGTGGTGCACACCTGTGTTCTCTGCCACTTGGGAGACTGAGATGGGAGGATCACTTGGGTCCATGAGGTCAAGGCCACAGTAAGCTATGACTATGCCACTGTACTCCAGCCTGGGTGACAGATCAAGACCCTGTCTCAAGATAAAGCAAGCCGGGCGCAGTGGTTCACGCCTGTAATCCCAATTTGGGAGGCCGAGGCAGGTGAATCGTGAGGTCAGGAGATCGAGATCATCCTCGCTAACATGGTGAAACCCCGTCTCTACTAAAAATACAAAAAATTAGCCAGGCGTGGTGGCGCGTGCCTGTAATCCCAGCTACTCGGGAGGCTGAGGTAGGAGAATCACTTGAGCCAAGATTGCACCATTGCACTGCAGCCTGGGCAACAAGAGCAAAACTTCATCTCAAAAAAAAAAAAAAAAAAAAAAAAAAAAAAAAAAAAAAGAGAGAGAAAAAAGATACCAGCAAGATGAAGGAAGAATATAATACTTGTATACAAATATTATTTTAAAATACGATTTAAACCTAGATGCTGAGTGTACACAGACACTCTTAGAAAAGATACACAAGAATGCAGTAACACTGGTTGTGTCTTGGGAGGCGAGCTGGGGCCGGGACGGGGAAGGGATAGGAGAGAGATTTACTCTTCACTCTAGGTCCTTTGCAGGTTTTGAATGTTGTACTCTGTGCATGTGCTATCTATTCAAAAACAAACACAGATGGTCTCCAGCTTACGATGGTTCAACTTCATATTTTTTGACTTTACAATGGTGCAAAAGTGATACACATTCAGTAGGAACTGTACTTTAAGTGCCCATACAACCATTCTGATTTTTACTTTCAGTATTCAATAAATTACACGAGATATTCAATACTTGATTATAAGATAGGCTTTGTATTGGATGATTTTGCCCAACTGTATGCTAATGTAAGCATTCTGAGCATGTTTAAGGTAGGCTAGGCTAAACTATGATGTTCAGTAGGTTGGGTGTATTAAATGCATTTGTGACACGGTATTTTCCATTTACAGTGGGTTATTGGGATGTAACTGCATCGTAAATCAAGCAACATCTGTACAGTACCCACAATGGAACATTGTTCTGCCTTAAAAAGAAATAAAACTCTGATACACCCTACAACATGAATGAACCTTGAAAACATTATGCTAAGTGGAATAAGACAGTCACAGAAAGACAAATCTGTATGATTCTACTCACACGAGGTACCTAGAATAGGCAAATTCATAGACAGAAAGTGGAATAATGGTTACGAGTGGCTGCGGGGAGAGGGAAGGAAGTTACTGTGTAATGGGTACAGAGTTTCTGATTGGGATGATGAAAAAGTTCCGGAGGTGGGTAATGGCGATGGTTGTACAGCATTGCGAATGCATTTCACGGCACGGAACTGTACACTTAAAGTGGTTAAATGAGGCTGGGTATGGTGGCTCATGCCTGTAATCCCAGCACTTTGGGAGGCTGAGATGGGCGGATCACAAGGTCAGGAGTTTGAGACCAGCCTGGCCAACATAGTGAAACCCGTCTCTACTAAAAATACAAAAAATTAGCTGCACGTGATGGTGGGCGCATGTAATCCCAGCTACTTGGAAGGCTGAGGCAGGAGACTTGCTTGAACCCAGGAGCCAGAGGTTGCAGTGAGCCGAGATTGTGCCACTGTACTCCAGCTTGGGCGACAGTGCGAGCCTCTGTCTCAAAAAAAGATAGCTAAATGGTATGTTTTATGTTACAAACATTTATCACAAAAAAACCCACAAATACGTAACACGATCTATTTTAAAATATATGTTTTACAAGTTCAGTATCTAAAGACCACTTAATGAAAATCCACTATCTCCAGTGGGAGTGTGTGGCATCTAAGAGCCTGAGCTTTGGAACCAAACTGAACCAAGTTGGACTCATGGCTCCACCGGTAAAAAGTTTTGTCACCTTCTAAATTAATCTTCTAGATAGAGCAACTAAATTTATCTTCCAGAGTAGAGGTCAGTAAACTTTTTCTATAAATGATTAGACAGTGAATATTTCAGGTTGTGCAGGCCATGTATGGTCTCTGCTGCTAGCAACTATTCAATGTGAAAGCAGCCATAGACATAGACAACAGCCATAAAAGCAGCCGTAGATGACACATATAAATGAATGACGCTGTGTTCCAATAACAACAGGCAGTGGCCGGATTTGGCCCCCAGGCTGCAGTTTGCCCACCTCTGCTCTATGGTTCTCAGCTCCTGAATTTGTAAGATAGACAATAATTATGACTACCTCATAGGGTTGTGGTGGGAATAAATGGGGCAATGTGTCGAATTCTTTGCTCAATGCCTTATGTATAATAAGTAGCCAGTAAACATTTTTTATTGATGGGGCTGTTGAGATACGTCTGAGAATGCAGAAGAAGTAAGTCACATTTATTGAGCACCTACTGTATACACAGTAGGGCCAACTCTTAATGGGACAGGACTTCATTTGCTATTAGTTACTTAAACAAACATCTCATGTTGGCACAGAGCTTCGTGCTTTGGGTCCATTAGCTCGTTTCATCTTTCTGGTTCCTCTCTGGGGTAAATTTCTGAATCAGGAAGCCAGGCCTCCAAGTTCCTTCTGCGAGGGAGAGCAGAGGCAATGTTTGAAACCTCAACCATCTCATTCCAAAGCCTGGGTTCTCAACCGGGGGTGGTACTGCCTGCCCCTTCTCCACCCTGTTCCCTCCAACCTGGGAGATTTGGAAAGTCAGAGGCTGTTTTGTGCGTTTGGGGAGTTAAAAGAATGAGGAAGCACTGCTGGATTTTAGTGGCCAGGGTCCAGGAATGCTAAACGCCTGGCAGACTTGTTTAAATGTCTGTAAAACAAAAACTATCCAGTCCCAAATGGACTCCCAAATGTCAGCAGCGCTCCACATCTTGCTGCCTAGATGCGACTCCATTGTCACCCTCCCTTGAGCAGCTCACAGTCCTACAGGAGAGGCGCATGGGGCAGAGGGGTCAGTGTGAGGATAGATGGAGGCATCCTTTGAGGGCGAGGTGGTATGGGGAGGATGCCCTCATTTCTGCCGAGAGTGGAAGAGACAGGGGGCACATGTTGTTAAATTTTAAGTTTAGCAGATTCTTTCTGTTTCCCTCTAAATCTGCATGAAAGGTACGGAGTAGAAGGGGCACTGGACTGTCAGAGGCTAAAACCACCGACTTGACCACTGGCTTGACCTCTCTGGGCTTCAACATTCTTGGAGTGAAAAGAAAATCATAACACATGCCTGTCCCCTTGCAGGGCTGTAGCTAGGATCAGATGGAGCAACAGAGTGAAAGTACATACCTCTGTATGAAGGGCAGGTGTGTTACTTAGTGAACTGTAAAGCAATTGTCAACTCAACAGAACTCTTCCCTTTTAAATCTTGAGTTTGGTTTCTAAAGGCTGGGTGAAGCTTTTCTCTAACAGCCCAGGTGCAGATGGCTGCCACAGGCTGCTCCTTCTGCCCCAGAAATTGAGATTTTGCTTTGATTGCATCTCCAGCAAAACCAGCCAGGCTGAAGAATGAGCCCAAGAGGGAGTAGCTTTGCTTCCTGTTGGCCATACCTCCTCAGAGCCATAGAGAAGCCATCCATTCCCAGCCAGAGACTGAGCCAGGAAAGGGGCTGGAACAGCTTGAGGGGGGTCACCTGTAGGTCAGGCTCCACAAGCTGGTTTCCCCCCAGGAACTGAGGGGAGGGGTTAATAGTTCCTTTGGCCAAAATGTGAAGTTAGAATCAATCTACGTAAATGCCAAGCTTGCTCTGTATGCAAAAATGAGGGGCTCATCAGAGCAGACATGTACAGATGTTTTCTCTACAAGACTCTGATTTCTCTTTTTCTACTCAGAGCCCACATGGCAGCTGGGTTCCTTGCCTCTGGAGATCTAGTTAATTGTGGCCCTGCCTCTGCAATTCCACACCTTTTGAAGGTTTCCCCAAACTCTCTGCAAGGGTCTGGGGACGCTGCATCAAGCATCACGTAGCCTGTCCCTCTGCATGCCCTTGTCAACCCAGCCATGAAAATTGATCCATTCTCTAGTTCCAAAAACAAAAACAGAAAAAAACAATTCCAGAAGGATCCCAAAGAGAGAGAAGAATTTGATGACGTTTCCCCATGCCAACACAATAAGCAACCTTTTTTTGCAGCAAACAGGTGTTGGAGTCCAACTTCTAGAACCCAACTCCCTTACTTATATAATGGGGTGACCTCAGGAAGTCCCTTAGCCACTGGATTCAGTATTTTCATCTGTAAAATGAAGCTGTCAATCTAATTAAAAAGCTGTTGTGAGGACTCAATTAAATTTGTCATGTAAATGGCAGGCATATAATACATGCCCATTTCAGCTAGAGCTCTTGGCTACAGAGTGATTTATTTAAATAGCTTTATTTAAAAGGAAGTGGAGGCTGGCTTAACTGCGAAGTCCAGCAACCTGTCATGTGTGGGCAGAATTGGATCAGAGCTCTTGCTCTGCTTCTTTTCATTCCCAGGACTCTTCTCTCCTCTATATAATTGTTTCCTTTTCTGTCCTCCACCCTTCCTCATAGTCATAAAATGACTGCAGCTGTGCCAGGTATCACATCTACTTTCTGCAGCTATCCATGGCTTTTGTTCCATGGTTTTCTTTGCCATGGAACAAAAGTCCTGGGTTTTGCTCTCATTATAACACTTAAGGTCAAGTTTCCATTTCAGAAGTCATCATTGAGGTGGTTAGGCATAGGCGACAGAGGGGTGGGATTATGCTATGTACCCTTTGAGGCACTCCAAAGTTCAGGTTCCTCCATGTACAATCCTGTCTTCACATCTGTGTCCCCAAAGCCTAGCACAATGTTTGACACACAAGAAGACACTCCGTAAGAGCTTCTTGTTGAATGAATGATGCTCATTGAATGAGGATTATAAAATCTAAGGAGAGAACAAGTGTGTGTGTGCGGTTAGAACATCTAATCATTCTCTGAAATCAGTTGCTCAGTTAGTGGTAATTTCCCAGATATTCTTTTCAGTGTTTAAAAATGGGTACTTATTTCTCTCTACTTCTTTGTATTTTTTTTTTTTTTTTTGAGACAGTGTCTCGCTCTGTTGCCCAGGCTGGAGTGCAGTGGCATTATCTTGGCTCACTGCAACCTCTGCCTACCAGGCTCAAGTGATCCTCCCACCTCAGCCTCCTGAGTAGCTGGGACTACAGGCATGCACCACCAGGCCCAGCTAATTTTTGTCTATTTGTTTGTTTATTTTGGTAGAGATGGGGTTTAACTATGTTGCCCAGGCAGATCTTGAACTCCTGGGCTGAAATAATCCACCTGCCTCAGCCTCCCAAAGTGCCGGGACTGCAGGGGTATGCCACCACGCCTGGCCTATTTCTTTACGTGGTCATTGTCTCCCCATCTCACACCTTCCACCTATAGAAATAAAGGAGGATAAGGGTTTTGTTTTGTTCACTGCTGTATCCTTAGGACTTAGAATAATGACTGGGACATAGTAAGTGCTCAGTTAATGTCTGCGAACAAAGTAAAAAAGATGCTTACTCTTTACCCTCATGAAGCTTCTGTCTGGAGCTTTCCTGCTGGGCTGTGTGCAGTGGCTGGTGGTGCACCACATCAGCCCAGAGCAGGAGTTACAACAGAGGTTCCCAGTCATCTCCTTCAGATGCACAAATTTGAATTTCTGGGGGAGGGTCCTGGGAATTTTTATTTGGGGGCCACTGCTTTAGATGACCAAGTATTGTTCAGGTCAGGGCCTAGCAGAAAGGCTTTTTTTCCCCACTTCAAAATCTTGTGGCCGACCATCTGTGCTTTCAAGGGGACATTAACAGCTTCATCCAATAGCTTCATTCTTGCAGGCAGGAAGCTCTTAAAAACTATTGGTTGAAAGGAAGATTAAATGAAACCTGTACTTAATTATCACGACTTTCTTTTTTTTTTTTCAAGACACCGAGCGCAAGTAATTACAACTTTCTTGATGCAGTAGAGGAATCACTGGTCTGAGGACGAATAGAACTGGGTTTCCACTCCAGTTGTTGCTACTTCCCAGGGAGGGCAATCTTTGAGCCCCAGATTCCTTAACTATAAAAAGGGACGGCTAGTACTTAGACAATGAGGTTGAGGTTGTTTCATTCATTCATTCAATTATTTATTCATTCCTTCAAACATTTAGTATCTTCCTTTTAGGGCTAAACCAAGAGCCAGGTGGTACAGAAATAAACAAAAGGCCAGGCGCAATGGCTCATGCCTGTAATCCCAGCACTTTGGGAGGCTGAAGTGGGTAGATCACTTGAGGCCTAGAGTTTGAGACCAGCCTGGCCGACATGGCAAAATCCCGTCTCTACTAAAAATATAAAAATCAGCTGGGCGTGGTGGCACATGCTTGTAGTCCTAGCTACTCAATAGGCTGAGGCAGGAGAATCACTTGAACCTGGGAGGCAGATGTTGCAGTGAGCTGAGATCACACTGCTGCATCCCAGCCTGGGCAACAGAGCAAGACTCCATCTCAAAATAAATAAATAAATAAAATTAAATAAACAAGAGACACATTAAGAGGAATAATGATATGTGTCCCCAGGATCAGAAGTGCTCCACCCTATTCCTGCTGGTAGCTGTGGTCTCAGTGAAGTCCCAGAGCAACACAGGAGAAAGGACATCCTCTGGCACAGAGTCTCATAAAACTTTATTTAAATCATGATGCTTCTAGCATTATGGGAACAGGCATGGTGGGACTCCCAAGCCAGCTCAAAGGAGTTAACTTTCTTCAAAAGTTATATAGAATAAGTTCACTGTCTTATTTTTTTCTTCTTTTTTTTTTTTCCTTTTAGTTGCATTTATTTTAAGGCTGAATTTACTCCGTGCCATAAGTTTTTGTTTCTTCAGTTTCTTCTGGGATATCTTCTTCTTCTGGGCAAGCTCCTCTTCTGGTTTAGGAACAATCTGTTCCTTTTCAGTAAGGATCATCTCAATGTGGCAGGGAGAACTCATGTATGGGTTAATTCGACCATGAGCTCTGTAGTTCTGGCGGCACATCTTGGGTGCTTTGTTCACTTGGATATGCTCAATGACCAGAGAATCTACATCTAAACCCTTAAGTTCAGCATGACTCTCTGCATTTTTAAGCATGTGCAGCAAAAATTCAGCACTCTTTTTAGGTCACCAACCTTGTGTCCAGCCCCACTGCTTGGCCTGGGCACACCTGCCAACTCCACCATTGTAACATCGGAATGGTACGCACTGTTTCTGTAAAGTGACATCTTTCAGATACTTCGTGGCTTTTCGTATATGCATACCCTTGATGGCCTGGGCAGTTTCACGTGTGTTCTTAAAGTGAACACGAAGATTGGAACCTCTTGATTTGCATGACTTTGTGGGGTTCTCCGGATCAAGTGAATAGCGAACCATTTTCACAGATTACCTCAGGCCGCTTAGGGAAAGAGCTATTTTTTTCTTTTTAAGACAGAGCCTCGCTGTGTCACCCAGGCTGGAGTGCAGTGGTACGATCTCAGCTTACTGCAATCTCTGCCTTCCAGGTTTGGTTTAAGCGATTCTCGTGCCTTAGCCTCCCAAGCAGCTGAGACTACAGGTGCATACCACTACACCCAGCTAATTTTTTTTTTTTTTTTTAGTAGAGATGGGGTTTCACCAAAAAGGGATGTATTTCTTCTGTGGCACACACCTACAAGCCTATCCCCAGGTGACTTTGCTTCTAAACAGTCAAGAAAACAACAGCAGATGATCTTTCATTATTCTGGTATTCTCAACTCAGGCTAAGAACGGCTTTAGCATCACCTGAATAACTTGTTGTCCTAAGATTAAAAATTCAATTTAAAAAATTACAAGGTATTGGCCGGGCGAGGTGGCTCACACCTGTAATCACAGCACTTTGGGAGGCTGAGGCAGGTGATCATCTGAGGTCAGGAGTTCGTGACCACCCTGGCCAACATGGTGAAACCCCCATCTCTACTAAAAATACAAAAATTAGCCGGGAGTGGTGGCGGGCACCTGTAGTCCCAGCTAATCCGGAGGCTGAGGCAGGAGACTTGCTTGAACCCAGGAGCCAGAGGTTGCAGTGAGCCGAGATTGCGCCACTGCACTTCAGCCTGGATGACAGAGCAAGAGACTCTGTCTCAAAAAAAAAAATACAAAATACAAAATTACAAGTTACCAGACACCATCCAGGAGAGGGCGCCATACTAATATTGCCACCATTCTGCAGAAGCTCAATTCTTCAGATCATATTTTCATTGCACATACCTGCCTGTAGAAAGCCTGCGTGCTTCAATTCTTCAATCACAGGTTTTAAGTCTGAGGCAATCTCTTTATATTCTAACGTGTTCATCTTAATCCAGGTTAATTTACATTGAAAGAGGCTTACATATAACCTCTATCCACTAGCTGCAATAAAATTAAGAAAAATGGTGAAAAACATCACACTTACCTATTAAACCTAAGGTGAATAAATGTATTGTATTAGAAATACACATAAGGTGAATAAATGTACTGTATTAGAAATACGCATATGGTTACCATACGTATGAGGATGTCATTTTATAATATAAACCATTTTAAAAGTTCATTAAATTTGGTAATAATTGTTAGTCATTTCTAAAATCAGATTGGGCGAGGTGGCTCACACCTGTAATCTCAGCACTTTGGGAGGCAAGGGGGGCGGATCACCTGAGGTCAAGAGTTTGAGAGCAGCCTGGCCAACATGGTGAAACCCTGTCTCTACTAAAAATACAAACATTAGCTGGACATAGTGGCAGGTACCTGTAATCCCAGCAACTCAGGAGGCTGAGGCAGGAGAAGGGCTTGAACCCTGGAGGCAGAGGTTGCAGTGAGCCAAGATTACACCACTGCACTCCAGCCTGGGCAACAAAGCAAGACTCTGCCTCAAAAAAATAAATAATAAAACTTCTAAAATTAAGTTCCCCATTTTCTAGTCATCAGCATTTCTACTCCCTCAGAGAAGCCCTACCTGGAATTCTTATTTTATTCTCTGCTTTTATATGCATTATTCTATTTTTGATTGAAAATAATCTGAAAAGAATATTCCAAACAAGTCTAGCTTTAGTAGGGCCGTCACCTCTAACCCAGCGATTTTGGCCATGCTTCTTAATTAACCTGTTTGGTCTCTCTACTAGGCAGATTATCTTTAAATTTCGAGCAACTCTAAAGTGGTATGTGTATTTTTTTAATTGTTAAAAATCTGTTGGTGTGTAAAGTAGCTACTGCTAATTGTTTTTGCCATTTTTTTTTTATTTTTTATTTTTTAGGACAGCGTCTCTGTCTGTCGCCCAGGCTCGAGCGTGGTGGTGGAATCATAGTCACCGTAACCTCAAACTCTTGGGTCCAAGCGACCCTCCTGCTTCAGCCTCCCAAAGCACTGGAATTACAAGCATAAGCCATCATGCCAGGTCAACTTTGCCATTTTAAAGAAAAAAGGAAAATAAATGTTGAATTTTATTTTATTTTTTTAAAGATGGAGTCTCCCTCTGTCACCCAGGCTGTAGTGCAGTGGTGCCATCTCAGCTCACTGCAGCCTCCACCTCCCGGGTTGAAGCAATTCTTCTGCCTCAGCCTCCAGAGAACCTGGGATTATAGGCACTCACAAACACCCCCAACTAATTTTTGTATTTTTAGAAAAAAACGGAGTTTTACCATGTTTACCAGGCTGGTCTCGAACTCCTGACCTCAAATGAGCCTCCTACCTTGGCCTCCCAAAGTGCTGGAATTACAGGCGTGAGCCACTGCCTCCAGCCAGGATTTTTCTTTTTTCTTTTCTTTTTTTTTTTTTATTCTTAGCCTCCCAAGGATGGGATTTTTTTTTCTTTCTTAGATAAATGCAAAGTCAGGCATGGCTGCATTTTACTGCAAGGCAGTGTGACCACCAAGTAATTTTTTGCTACCTTCAGGTACTTAGTTCCACAGAGCCATCATGGTCCTCTGGAATAACACTGCAAGGACACAAGGGTGGCTTTTACTCCAGATCTGCACTACTGGCTTGGTGCCACCCCTGGTGGCCAAGGACTTGAGGCATAGATTCATATTTTTAATTGTACCAATTTCAGCTTGAAAGTTTTCATTTCCTCCCCACCCTGTCTTTAAAAGGCACAGGGCATGAATCTAAAGCGTTGTCAGGAGAAAGAAAATGTGCCTCAGGTGGGCTGGGTTTTCCTGTCTTTCATTTTATTCCTGCTTTCATCTTTGAGGAACAACAAAACGACCTAACAGTAAGCCTGAAAACATGATCAAAATTCAAAGTATCCTTTTCTAAGTCACATTGGATTTTTTTTAATCTGGAGAAGATTGTTTTACAACTATCAAATATACCTATAAAAGAAAAACAGCTGCTTCCATTGTAACCAAATGACAGCTTGCAGGAGTAAACATCACCAGGCACAAAATCTTGTCTCTTTTACATGCATCCCTCTCATTACAAACCTTAGAGTGTAATATTGGGGTTCAGGGTGCCCTCAGCTCCCCTGAGAGGACGTTTCTCCAGGTTCTTGGTCTCCTGCCCTCTCATGAATGAGAGAGGGGACCACGGCACAGTGCGCAGTAAATGCCAGCCTCAAAAGTGTTTGTAGAATGTGATTTATTTATTTATTTATTTATTATTTTTTTATTATTATTATTATTATTTTTTTGAGACGGAGTTTTGCTCCTGTTACCCAGGCTGGAGTGCAATGGCGCGATCTCGGCTCACCGCAACCTCCGCCTCCTGGGTTCAGGCAATTCTCCTGCCTCAGCCTCCTGAGTAGCTGGGATTACAGGCACGCACCACCATGCCCAGCTAATTTTTTTTTTGTAGATTTTTAGTAGAGACGGGGTTTCACCATGTTGACTAGGAAGGATGGTCTCGATCTCTTGACCTCGTGATCCACCCACCTCGGCCTCCCACAGTGCTGAGATTACAGGCTTGAGCCACTGCGCCCGGCCTAGAATGTGATTTATTTAAAGAGAGAGAGAAACAGGAGAAGGAGAGAGAAAGAAACAGCTAACTCTCACACTGAGTGAGAGAATCCAGAAAGATGGAATCCAGGAGAGGAAAGCAGCTTCCACACTAAATGGAAGGGAATAGAGAGAGATGGAGTTTAGGAGGGAAAGACAGGCTTCCACGAGAGAGTGTGGAAGGGGACTCCAGAGGGGAAATCCAGGAGAGAGAAAGATGGCTTCCATGAAGGGGGTGTTCGTGGAAGGGGATCCAAACATGGAGTCCAAAGGGGTGTGGAAGAAGGGGACTTTTAACCTGGGAGGAACCCCCACCTTCTCTAAGACCCCTGACCAACAAAAGGAGTTTCTTAGAACTTCCACTGGAGTGATTGACTCTTAGTTTCTTCCTGCGCCCGTGAAATTCAAACATAAACCGTTAAATCTCCTGGATGGAGAGAGATGGGAGGGGGGCATGGCACTGGGAAGTTCTTGCCCTTAAAACTATGCCCCTGTAGTCCCAGCTACTCGAGGCTGAGGCAGGAGAATTGCTTGGACCCGGGAGGTGGAGGTTGCGGTGAGCCGAGATCGCGCCACTGCGCTACAGCCTGGGTAACAGCCTGTTTTGAGGCTCCGTCTCAAAACAAAAAAAAAACAAAAAACAAAAAACCCACAAAACTATGCCCCACTGTGGACCTGGAAAGAGAACACATTCCCTCAAGAGTATGCTCTGATTCCCATGAACATGCCCACAGAGTCCTCACAGAACCACAGCGACTCCCTGCGGTCACTAGATTACTGCCCATCACATCATGCCCAAATCAGAGCAACTGGCAGGATGGAGGGGAAAGAGTTAGAGTTCAGTTTCGGACACATACAAATTTGAGATACCACTTAGACATTCTTGTGGATGATAATCCTTGAATTAATTAGTCAAGTCAGGTCAGACTGGAAATATAAATTTGGGAGTTGTTGGGGTTTAAATGGTATTAATATATCAGACCAAGGACTGACTGTAGATAGCAAACTAAGAGGTCAAAAGACTGAATATTCCAATAACAAGGCGGGGCAGAAGGAGCGCACAAAGGAGACTGAGCTAGTGCAGTAGGAAGAAGAGTTGGCAGTCAGAAAACCAAGTGAGTGAGATATGTCAAGGACTGAAGGCATCGGATGCAGGCAGAGAAATGCCACAGCAGAGAACACCTTCCCAGTCAATGCCCAGCAGAGCCATTGGGCAGGGCTGCCCCTGAGACCCTGGACCTATAGAGCCACCAGTGCATAATGCCAGCCTGGGAGAGCTGCAGGCACAGGACTCCAAGCAGTGAGGGCCAGGGCATGGGCTGCCCCCAGTAGAGCTATGGGGGTGGAGCTGCCTGGAACCTTACAGACCCAACCCTCACCCCAGTGACTGGAAGGTGAGACATAAAGTCAAAGATTATCCTCAAGCCTCAATATTTAATGTTGTTTTTCCTGCTGGGGTTTGGACTTACTTGGGACTAAGCTACTTCTTTCCTATTTCTCCCTTTTAGAATGGGAGTATCTATGCTATGCCCATTCCACCACTGTATTTTGGAAGCGCGTAACTTGTTTGACAGCTGGAGGGAAATCTGGCTCGGGATGAATCGTACTTTGAGTTGGTCTTATTCATGTTTACAGGAGACTTTGGACTTAGAATTTAAAGTTGATGCTGGAACAAGTTAAGATTCTGGGGGTTATTGGGATGGAATGAATGTGTAAGAACATGAATTTGAGAAGCCAGGGGTGGAATGCTGTGATCTGAATGTGTCCTTAAAAATTCAAGTGTTGATTTTACACTGTTGGTGGGAGTGTAAATTAGTTCAACCATTGTGGAAGACAGTGTGGCGATTCCTCAAGGACCTAGAAATAGAAATTCCATTTGACCCGGCAATCCCATTACTGGGTATATATCCAAAGGATTATAAATCATTCTACTATAAGGACACATGCACACAAATGTTCATTGCAACACTGTTTACAATAGCAAAGACCTGGAACCAACCCAAATGCCCATCGATGATAGACTGGACAGGGAAAATGTGGCACATATACACCATGGAATATGCAGCCATCAAAAACGATGAGTTGGTGTCCTTTGTAGGGACATGGATGAACCTGGAAACCATCATTCTCAGCAAACTGACACAAGAACAGGAAATCAAACACCACGTTCTCACTCATAGGTGGGTGTTGAACAATGAGAACACATGGACACAGGGAGGGGAGCATCACACACTGGGGTCTGTTGGGGGGAAACGGGAGAGACAGCGGGGTTTGGGGAGTTGGGGAGAGATAGCATGGGGAGAAATACCAGATATAGGTGAAGGGGAGGAAGGCAGCAAATCACACTGCCATGTGTGTATCTGTGCAACAATCTTGCATGTTCTTCATACCCCGAAACCTAAAATGCAATTAAAAAAAAAATTCAAGTGTTGAAACTTAACGGCCAATTAGATATTAAGAGGTAGGACCTTTAGATGATTAAGTCTTGAAGGCAAAGCCCTTATGGATGGGATTAGCCTCCTTATAAAAGGCTTGATGGAGTGAGTTTAGTGGCTTTTTGTCCTTCCACCTTCTGCCAAGTGAGGACATAACAAGGTACCCCTTAGAGCAGAGAGCAGCACTCACCACTGCCACTAGCCAGCACCTTCATCTTAGACCTCAGCCTCCAGAACCATAAGAAATGTTTCTGTTGTTTCTAAATGACCCAGTCTTTTAGGTATTTTGTTGTAACAGCACAAATGGACAAAAGCCAGTGCTTAATTTAGCCCCATACAGCCTAGCTCTACCCTGCTGCAGCCAGCTTCTGCAGTAACAGGAATGCAGAGTGCAAACTTCCACAGGCTCTTCTTGACCACCGATTGACCCCTTGTAGATAAAAAACTAGAAGGGCTTTACCTGTTGTTTCGCTGGTATCTTAGTCCACATTTCCTACCCATCTGGACTAAGGCTTACTGCATTTCCATCAAATCAACATGAGAGCCTGTCAGACAAAAGGCAATTTTCCCTGGATGGGGAGGTTGAAACAATGAGCACCTGGTGGTCACAGAAGACTCTGCAGACTGCAGTTTACTTTCCTGGCTGTATTGAGCTTCTATTGGTTCTAGATTCACTTCTACATCATACCTGTCCTCTGCATCTGATTGTGGATAGTGCTCCATAGCCTACATTAAGCCTTTGTTCAGGTGACACGAGATCATTTCCCTAAGGGGAAGGAAGGAGGACACATGCATGAAAATGCTTTTTTTTTTTTTTTTTTTTTTATAGACGGAGTTTCACCATGTTGGTCAGGCTGGTCTTGAACTCCCGACCTCAGGTGATCCACCCACCTTGGCCTCCGAGTGCTTGGATTACAGGCATAAGCCACCACACCCGGCCAAAATGCTACTGTTTTATGAAACAGCGCAGTGGGAGGGGCAAGTCAAGACCCCAAAGAGTGAGGACCTCTGCTGTAGACAGCTGCTTGGGAGGGGGTTGGCTGGCTCTGTCTTCTTCTCAGCCTGCAGGCCAGTGCTTGCTCACCAGCCCATGTGGACAAGCTGGCCTGGCCTTCACACAGGCCTGGGCCATAGCAAGGGCACAGCAGGATCAGCTCAGGCAGTGCCTGAAGAGGAAGTGCCTGAGAGCCAGGTCCTGCTTCACACCCAGTGAAAACTGGGAGGGCTTTGCAAATAGTTTGGAGTTTGTCTTTTCACACTATGAAATTCTCAAATATCTGCCATCGATGCAAAGAAAGGTTCTCAAGAATTTTATTATAAAACAGAATAATGGCACAATATAAGCTTACACATTAATATTTACATTATATTCAAAATATATTACAGCTTTAATTTATGAACAGAAACATCCTGTCTTTTCTTCTTTTTCTTTTCTGTTTTCTTTGCATCACTGATTTGCATTTTTACTTGATCTTGTAATTTAGAAAAGAATGCTTGAGAGGACTTTAAGGCTTTGTCTTTACCTTCATCCTGCAATTAAAAATAACACATGCTTATGCTGTAAAATGTACTTATAAGTGAAAAAAGCCAAAAATATAATAGTACGTCATCATTAAAACAACAACTACAAATATGAAAAAGGACTAGAATTACAGAAAATGAAATCAGTTAGCATAGAGGTATTCTATACTGCCACCATGTTCTTATGATCTAAGGGAGAAAGGAGTGAAAGAAAAGCTGCTGCCAGGACCCAGGTTATTGTGAGGACCCTACATGAAAAACTCCAGAACATTTAAGGTTGTGATTCCAGGTGGTCAGTATCATGCGTCTCCATCTCGGAAGTGGGCTGGCAGTTGGCTCAGACATTCCAGTCACCCAGTGGTCTTTGCAATCCACTTCCCCCCGCAAAGGCCCCCTTGAGCGGTTTTCTTTCCCTTGTCCTTACCTTTATGAAGGAAGCTTTGCCAGTTTTGGTCAGCTGTTTTAACTTCTCCGAAGCTACCGCTTTGCTGTATTTCCCTGCTTGATCTAGACTGCTCTTTTCAAGCAGTTTTCTCCGCTTCTCCTTCTCCTTTATTTTCATACGCTTTTGAGATTTCTTTTTCCTCCGCTCGCGTTTCTTGTCTGTAGCTGTTTTTTCAGCAGCTGTTTTTATATCTCCAGCTTTATTTTTCTCCTATTAAAAAATAACCACCAACATATTTGTTAATCAAGTTTAACAACTAGGAAACTGGAACGGAAGAAACCACACGGTAGCCAGCAAGTGGGCTGTGCACCTGTGGCCAAATGCACGAAGATGCAGAGCAATCGCCACCTGCATTCCAATGAGTGTTGGTAACTCAGCTGTTTAAAACCTGAAATGTGTTCTTTGACAGCACAGACTCTTACAGTGACGGTTCAGTTCCCGAACTAATTGACAAAGGCAACATGGAAAGTTGGGTTCTCAAGCTAACAGCACAAAAGAAGCAAGCCCTCCACAGCATTTAGATTCCAGTGGGCTTCAGGGACATGCCAGAGACAGCCTCAGCTCTGAGCTGCTAATAACAGCAACTGGACTGAGGACAGAGGGCCCAGAGATCAAGGAACAGAGGAAGGGAAGGCAAACATCTCTCCAGTGAGGATCAGTTTTCCCTCCTTTCTTCTCAGCTGCCAGCCTATCCTGCCAGGGTTGTCACCTGCACTGAGGTGGCAGAGGCTCCGACAGAAGGGGTGAGTGTAGGTGCGGCACATCAAGTGAGGAGAGAAAACGAAGGCCCTGCCGCTAAGCCAGCCAGAAAGATGAGCACCTGGCAGAAATATCATTATTACTGTGTAAGGCACGAGCATCAATGTTCACATGGCAGGAATTGCTGCATTTGATTTATCCACCTCTTCTGATAACCAAATGCTCCACTCTAGATCCAGATTCCGTTAGAAATTAGCATCATATGGATAAAATAAGGGGGAAATGCTGATATTAAACTATTGCTAGTGTATACACAAACAATTTGTTTGAAACTTACCATTTCTGCCAGTATTCAGATTGGATTATAACAAGATATTGATATTAGCTATTTTTTAACTGCTTTTATAGTAACCCTCAAACCTGTACCTCATAATAAAGCCAGAATATAGGAGACTGGTATTTGAATATTATAACATTATTAGTTTGCTTATACTTAGAAACTACTGAGATACATTGATTAAAAACTGCAAATGCGCCGGGCGCGGTGGCTCAATCCTGTAATCCCAGCACTTTGGGAGGCCGAGGCGGGTGGATCACGAGGTCAAGAGATCGAGACCATCCTGGTCAACATGGTGAAGCCCCGTCTCTACTAAAAATACAAAAAAATTAGCTGGGCATGGTGGCACATGCCTATAATCCCAGCGACTCAGGAGGCTGAGGCAGGAGAATTGCCTGAACCCAGGAGGCGGAGGTT